AAACACTTTACAATGCCGAAAAAGCACGTGTGAAACAAAACTGAAGAGAACTGCAAGGCCAAGCGGGAGTCTCGCAAGGGAGGGGAGAGAGGTCAGCTCCAGTCCTCCCTCAGCCTGGTTCTCGCAGTCAGTTCACTGCTTCTCAATCATTAGGGTTTCATAATGTCAGACAACTGAGCTGGTGCAAAGGTAATGCGACAACAGACATCAGAGACATGAACGTTAGAAGCCAGCCAGCGCGGCCTGGAGGAAAAGCCGGCCTGTCTGTCTGTCCTTCCGTCCGTCCGTCGCGGCTCCACTCACATGGGCTCGTCCTGCTCGGCGGCCTTCTTCACCCCCACGTCCTCCTGCTCTCGGATCTTGTCCACCGCCTGGGCCCGCCGCTCGCTCTCGGTGAAGCTCTGCACGCTCACTTTCTGCGCCCCCAGCCCGCCCTTCCTGGAGCCGAGCTAGGAAAGCAAACAGAGCCCCCCGAAACCAGCTGAGCACCGCCAGACGCGCGCCGGAGCGGCCGTCTGGAGCCGTGCGGCACAAACCCTGAACCACGGAGCCCGACCTGCAGCTGCACTGCCGACTCCTCGTGAGGGAAAGCACACGATCTCATTCATCTCATCGTTCCCCTTTCCCGTGTCTCTTAAATACACGCGCTCAGTTCCCGCGGGTCACGTGACGCAGTGTGGCACACATACCGTTTTCTTGGAGGGGGCGGCCTTCTTCTTGAGGAGCGAGGAGCTCTCTGCAGGGGGGGGAGAGAGAGCGTCAGTCCGGGGCACACGGGGACACAGGGAGAGCCGCACACACAGCGGGGAGATGCAAATAGCTCTGAAGAGCTGCCAAAAAAGCAAGCCTTTGCCTCTTCTCATTTTTCCTTAAATCGGCTCACTAGGCGGGATGCACACAGACTCTTCTACTCCCTAATGCACCTCCAACGGGACCTGCACTGCGTCCCGCCCTCTGTCGGAGCCTGGCTCCACACAGGCCCCTCGTGCCATCATCTGTTGGAAGCAGGCGCATTTTACAGCGCTGCGTTTTGCTGTGGGACAGCAGCCCCCATCCCTACCAAATCTCACAGGTAACCTCACAGCCCAGGAGCCTGACCTGCCTTTTCCTGGTCTTCGAGGGAATGGTTCTCCTAGCTCCCTCCGAATGTGAACACTTACTCTAGGTCACAATGTGCGTTCTACTGAGATAGCTTGCACTTCTCAGTTCCTTGAAAATGTTTTTTTTTTTTGCATACTCTAACTGAAAAGGCAAGAACTATAAAACTGACAAACATAAGCAAAAATTATCCTTTATTTAAAAAAAAAAACGGTGCCTTGTGCGTTAGTCAATGCAAAATAACTGAGGTAGGCAAAGCGCTCGCCCCAGGGCAGGGCCATCCACTCAGGGGGACAAGCAGCAGAGGTTAGTTCCACACCAGTGCAGCACACCTGCAGCCCCGGAGAGCTCAGCCCTTCGGCAGCAGCTGAACCGGACAGGCCAGGCCTCAGCTGTCAACCCAGCTGGACTCTGACCCTCCAGGACTGGAGGTGGGAGCTGTGTTTTACAAGAACTACCAGTCTACCTTTGCTATGCGCGAGTCCTGTGGATGTTGGGTCAGCTAAAATGAGGAAAGATAAGTCTCAGTCAGACAAATAAGCACTAGACTGGTATTAGTTCAACTTTCAGGACAGAATATGGCAGATTTGTCTTTTCAGCCGCACATGAACCCATGTTATTTAGACATCAAACTCACACACACTATCGCACTACACACAGGCAAACTGCACACAACAATGGACTAAAGACGTTAGTAAGCAAGGACAACAGGAGTGCTTATTCTGTCTTAGGTTACCTAATGCAGCCTTGGGAGACATGCTGAGCAGATCCACGCTAGGGCCCTGCTCCGGCTCGCCTGCAAAACATTTCAGCAGGCTCAAGTCAGAAACATTCCCAGCGCCGCCAGGAAACACCCCAAACTATCCCGAAGCGCCTCTGAGCCACAGCGCTGGGGGAGCAGCGTGCAGGACCTCCTTCCCCCCTGCGGCCGAGCGCAGCTCTTGTCTTCACCACCTCCAAAAGGGATCACAGGTTTAACACAGCAGCATTTTCAGCCTTAATGAACAATGACCACAAGAGCTCTAACAGGGGGGCGATCACTCCTATGGCCAGCTGATAGGCTGTGCCTGACAGCTTGCAGGGCCGCAAATCTCCCAGGACCCGGTGCCTGCGTGCAGGCCCTAAGCAGAAGGCGGCCGAGGAGCTCACCCTCTGCTGCACCCCGGACGGCCAGGGAGAGGTCCTCTTCTAACGCGGGATCTGTTTGCTCCAGTCTGTCATCTGCCGTGATCTATACGTATGGGAGGGAGGGGAAAAAAAACCTTAGTGGGGAAAGCAGCTCGAGTCAGACGTCATTAAATCATGAACCGCACCCGCTGAATGAGAACTGCCAGCCGAGGGCTGGGGAGAGCCCCTACCTGCGTGTGCACTGCGAAGAAGTCTTCCTGCTTGCTGTGCGGGGACGTAGGGGACAGGGGCACGTGATCCCCGCAGTCCAGCCACAGCTGCAAAGGAACAGACACGTCAGCCCGCGTCCCTGGCCAGGCTGCGGCTCACGGGACGCCCGAGGAACGGGACCCGAGATCAACCCCCGCCCCGGGGATGGAGGCGATCGGCCCAACGGGACCGTCACGACTGCGAGGATCTGCGCAGAGACTGACGCAGCCGGAGCAGCCCCAGTCAGGGCTGCCGCCCCGGCCCGGAGCACACGCCTACCTGAGTGCCATGCTGCCGGGTCGCCTGGGAGGCCAGCGTCCTGATCTTCTCCCGGTACAGCTGGGCGCCGCGGCTGTTGTACTTGGCGTTGGCGGCGCTGGCCGTGCAGCCGTGCTGGTGGAAAAAAGCCGTCTAGCGGGGAAGAAAGCAGAAACAAATAAGCGAAATGGACCCTAGCCCCCTCTCACACCCTGAAAACACAAAGTGCAGGAGGGGACAGGAACGAACGAGTCTTCTTCCACTCTCGCAGCACAGAGCACATTACTGTCTTCCTGTCTCGACCTCAGTCCAGCAGGAGACTGCAGACCAGAACTGCTCTGTGACTTGGAGCACACACATCTGGACTCAGCCGTTATAGCCAGAGGGCAAGAGGACACACATTTGCCGTACGACCCTCTGCCAGGTGGTCACTCGCTGGCAGGCCACGGCAGCTCAGCAGGTGTGAGCCTGGCCAGTACCTGAGGGGAGACTGGGGGGTTGCTGGGCTGCTGCTGGAAGAGGTGTTAGCGGGGCCAGTATTTTACTCATTAGTTGGATTCAAATACTCACCGCATTGGCATTCCCGCCAACCTGCATGCACCGCAGCTGGAACCAGGACCAGTTGGAATCGAGCTCCGTGGACCTGAAAGACAGCACCGCCGCGTTCAAAAACCAGGCTTTTAAAGGGGAATGATTCCGGCTTACAGCTGGAATCTTGCAGATACAGCATCTCGGTTTTATGACACCCTATCTATACGGCCCTCCTTCAGGGCTTGTTAAATACATAAAACAATGCAAAGCTCACCAGTAAGAATGGACCCCAGGGAGCCAGGCACCCTAACAAACACAGAGCCTTCTTCAACTGCCCTCGTGGAGGTGAATAAAGTATTCTGAACTTCACTGAATTCTTACACCACCACCAGTTCGTATGGCTGAATAACTTTAGATCCCCAAAAGGTCACTTAATTTTCAATCCATCGTCCTTTTAATAGTTTGGGAGTAAAAAAAAAACTCAAATTGGCTAAACAGAAAGCCTGCAATGACGCTTCTAAATGCAAATGGAGGCTCTATCTCTGACCCTTCAAACCCGTGTGCAAACACGCACCAGCGCAGAGGCCCCACCTGATGAAGGACAGGTGCACCCCCAGCGAGCGATGCGTCCCGGAGCAGTCGATGCACAGGAAGACCCCGTGCGTGATGCTGGCCCAGCTGGGGTTCTTGGCTCCGCAGTCGAAGCATGACTGGCAGGAAGAGAAGGCACACGGTTATCTGGGGCGCACGGACCTCGTGAGCCGGCTGCTGGCCTTGCAGAAAATCCCCCCGTTCTCTCTCTCTCTCCCGGACCAGAATCAGCCACCGCTGGCTCCAGCGGACCGACCACGTCACAGCACAATGACAGACCGCAGTCTCGCGAGCGAGGCAGGTCGAGGCGCAAAGCGTCTACATCCTCCACCAGGGCGGATAAAGAGCCTGGTCTGTGCGGGACAGAGCACAGGAGAGCCCCTGGGCCTGCACACCAGCCACTAGGACACCAGCACTCAGGGGTGTCAGGCAGCAGCCAGAACAGGTTTTGGAGACGTGGCAAGTGCGAGAGAGAGGTGAACAGCATTCTCTTTTTGTAATATGGGAAACACGGACAGAAACTCACTAGGAAGTTCAAGAGTCGGGCACTGTGAAAAAAGGCAGGAAGTCAGCCTGCAAACATGACTTTGTATTTTAACCTGTACAGCAGCAAGTGTGACAATTAAAAAAAACAAAAATCTCAACTTGGTCAGCGAGAGCAAGGTCACGCTGTCTGTATGAAGCGCATGACAAGTATGTGCACTGTCCCAAAGTTATTTAGAAGCCTTTTTTTCCGTAATGCTTTTAAAGAGTGTTCCATCTCCATCAGTCACACCAGGTGAGGTTGGCACTGGTCATGCTTTTCAGTAGAAGACATCCACAATGACTCTAACATGGCTGCCAGAATTTAACCAAGATAAACCAAGATAACGGCTAACAAAATGTCACTTCCTCTTACTACGTTCAGAATTTTTTTTGCATCTTGAAGCATTTGTATTTGGCTGGATTGATAGTGAGGCACTGGGAAATTCTGCAGTCGGCTTTCTGCGTCTGCAGAACATCAGCTATAAGTGCCAGCAGAAATGTGCCAGGAAGCTTATTAAAATGGCCCAAGAAGGAGAGAGGTCACCTTCAGCCTCTGTTCTGAGCTCCGGCTTCTACATTCTAGTTAATAAAATTAAAACTATGGTAACTCTTCAACAACGGAGACAATTTACTCTTAAAATATTTTTTATTTTAGGGTGGTGCATCCTTAACCAGTATTACTGTGCTTCTCGTTACCATAGTTTTAATTTTATTGTGAAACTCAGAATTAGACCTGTGGTTTCCTTTTGCATCCACACCCAATGGAGCGCGTGGATAGGTCAGTCACTCCGAACAAGGTCTGTCTGGACATGAAGAATAAGGGTCATGCTAAGCAAAGCTTAATAACACCATACTCAGCAGCAAGAATTCTCCATAGCATGTTAATATTCTCTCACCTAAACAACGTTCTAGTCGGTCACAGTGCTACCAGATCTCTGGAGCTGGGCCAGGCTGGGCCTGCTCAGTCCTGGGGTGGGAGATGTCTAAGGAACACTAGGTTGTTGCTGTAACTGGTGCTGGTGGACCAGTAAGTAGTGCTCTTATCTCTGGGCCAGATTTACAGACCAGAGCACCACTATTGGAACCAGGCACACTGCTATAAAACAGGGGTCATCAATTCTGGTCCTGGAGACCCAGAAGGTATCTGTTCAACGCAAGATCCCACTTACAAAAACCGAACTCTTCACTGACTTCACAAAAGGCTTAATTGGAAATACACAGCTTTTAACATGACGGAGGCTGCCTGTTATCTACTATATTTCACAAGCAAAAGAAAATGCCAAACAATAAAGCCTGCCAGTATTCCAATCAAGCGACCCCTTAGTTCAGTTAAGGCTGCCTGGAGGTCATGCTGGCCAGCTGGAATGAAGACCAGCAGGTGCAGGCCCAGATACCGTCCTTCAGATGAGTCTAAACCGAAGCCCACCCTGCTGTCCTGGATTAATTACACACTGGGCTTGACCATCCTGGACCCTTTGATGAAAAGTCGCTATAAAGATACCAGGCATGTTCTATATACGAGCGAACCAGATTAACGAGAGGCGCGAGGTTTATAAGGCGACACAGAGCACCGAGCAACAGTTTTTGTTTCAAAACAAATGAGCAACCCCCCTATCTGTTCAGGATAACGTGACAACGACGTGGTGCCTCCGTATCCAGCGTGTCCGTGTCCAGTCTAAAGGGCGCTTCGGGCCCGCCTCACGGCAGCGGTCCGGTTTCAGCTCTCCGTCCACAGCCAGGGGCGACTAAACCGATCTGATCCGGAGAGAAACCGCTCTCCGCCCGCTGCCCCCCTGTCTGGGGAACTGCGCCATCGTGCGACCCCCACGTCCACGCCGCTCCGGATTCGCTCCGGGTCCCGGGACCTGCTGGCCCACTCGGGTCAGGCGCTGGCCGAACCCAGCTGCT